TTCTATATAGTCACCGTTATTTCTTGATAGACAGCTTGAGCTCTACATTACTTTAGTATTTGTTTAGTGATTTATAAACTTGTATTTCATTTTAAAGGCAGAGAGCCTTAGTACTATTTCAATTGACTTTGTGTATTGACATATTTCACATTTATTTTAGTTCATCAGTTGTACTCTTTTTATTTAGTTGGGACATGACATATCCTTTGGATATTTCTTTCTCTTGGTATGTTCATTGCATTTTTACTTTTCTCATATCTGTTTGTACCTATACCGTTCTTAATTGATTCCACTAGAGAGATATTACTGTGATGGTGAAACGTGTTTGCACTGTGTGGGTGCATGACATGTTTGACATCTCTGGATTCACCTTGGACTGCAGCCTTGTGTGAAACCAGGGACGTCACAGAAAAGCAATAACTGCTCCCTCACCACTACTACCCTATTTATAATATAGCTAGGGCTCTGACTGTTAGAATCTCAATGAACAAGCTGAACCCTAACCAACGGTCCAGATTAATTCTAGAGCTCAATGCATCTTTTCTCAAACTGAGGCAAAGCGTGCTCCTGTTGAATAGCCTGCAATCTTGCATGAAATATTAAGTGACAACAGTTGAAAAGAATTCGCTGATGGTAGCCACATCGCATCCAAAGAACTTTTCAGATCCCTCATTAATGCCTCTCATGACTTAGCAAGAACTGTTATATTTCACTCGGATTCAGCCTAGGCTGACTCCAAGTAAAATGGGCCAACTGTTATAGCTCTTTTAATGATGAGAAATAATCTCCAATCAGTGACAAACAAGTATCTCATATTATGCATAATTAAGTCAGCATTTCATGATAATCACAGGCTCAATTTGGCCAACTCGATACACTGGCATCTTGCAAGGATGACATGAAAGGCGTAACATGTCGACAACCCGAAAGGTGTCACATGTTGACGACCCGAAAGGCATTGCGTGTCATCTCCTATCTAAGTCGACTGCTTAATCACTCTACCCGGTTGACTAATTGGCCAACACCTTATGAGTGCGACTCAAGAGGCGATACTTATTGACCTCTAGACGAGTCGAAAGGTGATGAAATGCCTCGAGCCTCGAGCCCTCTTCTTTGCACTTGTGACCAATCACCTTGTAATAAATACCTTTAAATGCATTATGGCGCCACTATTCCTTTGCTCCTAGTAGTCTTTATGACACATTGGAATACGTCAGCACCACACACTCCCAATCACTTCCTATTAAATACTGAAGTGACATCTCCTCCACTCGTCGGCCAATACTCGTAAAGTAGAGGCTGACTTGGTCTCCATCTCATACTCGACCTAAATTACCATTCTACCCGTCTACCACTACTATAAATAGAGGTACTATTTTTAATATATAGGGTAAGATTTTTTCTACTACTCTTCGAGCTTAAGAACTACTATAGTTCCTTTTACTTCTCCGCACAAACAAATCACTGACTTGATTATCGAGGGAACAACCATAGAACCAGACCCTACCCTCTTATCTTAGAACCAGACATTCGGAGGGTTAGAGGACCTTCGTCAACTTAACCAATATTATTTATTTGACTATGTGATTTCATATATCAGCAACATCTCACATATCGTTGTCATGTATAATAACCTATTATAACAAAGCTATCATTTACTAATTGTAGGTTGAGCACGCGTTTAAAAAATCTCTAAGTTAGATCACATCTCAAAACATGTGATACATCAAAGTGCATGATCTAACAAAATAATTTCTAAGAATATATAACAATTATAGAAAATAATACCCAAATTATATGTGCAACGATTAAATCCATTAACAATACAATAATATTACATAATTTATATTGGATGTTCAAGTACATATATTACTATTCCAGCAATTTCCCACTTGCCCTAACATCCAAAACAGATATAATTCTAACTCTCATCTGTCAAAAATATTTTATGACAATGCTATTCTAAAATGCTATTTGCTTAGCCATGTTTTAAACCATCATATATTTTTTATTATTAACCATCATCTGTCAAAAATATTTTATGACAATGCTATTCTAAAAATGCTATCTGCTTAGCCTTGTTTTAAACCATCATTTATTTCTTATTATTAACCTTTAATAAAATAATATATCTTTCTAAGCTTTTCACAACAGCTTCACTACTATCAAATAACAGTGATAAAGAAATATATTATTAGGAATAATATTAAGCTTACGGAGAAACTCATTTATCCGTATTCCTTCTTTAGTGGTTTTAGATGACACTATATACTCTACTATTATTATTAATGATATAAATGTAACACGAAATAGACTTTCTGTTATTAGGATTACATTAAACACTACTCACAAAATGTTGATAATAGATTTCCCAAATAGTTGCAACCGTTTGGGACAATCATTCACTCAAATTTTTTCTTTTTTTTTGTGCTTTTTGACCCAAACAGTTAGAACCATTTAGAATTAACTTATCTCAAATGGTTTTAGACCGTTTAGGTAAGTTATTTTGTTACTAGTGGATGCTTTTCATCCAAGGTATGAGAACTTATTTGTGGTAGATGTACACTATAAGAGGTAGCTGGTTACTATATGGTGGTAGGTAAGTCATTGACTTGAACATTAAGAACCTTCCAATTTAAGTTCTTTGGGAGAGTCATATTTCCCTCCATGACTAGAATCCTTCTTACTTCTTAAAACTTTTTCATGATAAATTCTTCGCTATGTGCATATTAGTGGGTTTGGAGCAATAATCTTAAATTGTAGGAATTGAGTGTAAATAACTTTGCAACTTGTGCTCGTCCATCAACATCAATTATTAAATTGTACATTTCTTTTGAACATAGTACATTTATGAGAGAGCTACAAACCATAAGAAAAGATCATTATCATGTACATAAGTATTCTTAATTTATAGCGTCCACTACAATACTTAATTTATAGCGTCTACTACGCTTCAGCAAGTTCATTTCTACAGTTAATACCGTAGACTGTAGAATTCCACCTGATAAGACTTGCATCTTCTTCAGAGCACTGTCCATGGATTACGTCAGTTAACTTTGAAGTTTGAACTTCAAAGTCCTTCCCAATTTAAGTCCAGTTGTTAAAAAAGGAAAGAGCTGTTTAAGCATCTTTCCACCTGTAAACATAGGACAATATTGTTTAGCGTAAGATATGTACAGGGCTATGATAGATTATGGACTTTACTGCTTCCTTGAACTAGAAGCATGATGCTTTTAAGGAAAGAGAAGAAATTAATTTGAGGAACAGAGCAGAAAGTTACGTAAAAGGTAGCTAGGTTAGCGCTGTTTAAGCATCATAATAATTTATGGGAATTTTGTTTTGTTCCTTTCTGTATGCTTGTTGCATCTTAACTATAATATGGCATACAAAACAAGCAAAACTTTCCCTTCAAAAAAGTCAAACAGAATTTCTACCGAAGAGGTAGCTAGGTTAGAAATGGTACGGTACCATATTTAACAAAAAAGAATTTATACAGTTCTAGTTCTGATCATACCTTACAAAATAAATTGAAATAGATTTGGGATTGGCTTCTGAGCTTCAAATCAGCCTTTAACACCGCTCCTTTTGCAGCTTCTCTCATTATGCACCTCCTTCTGCACGGTGTGCCTGTGCTTCATGACTTAAAGGAGAACATACAAGAAACAAAAGACATGTATATAACACACGCTAAATGTCGGCCTTCTCTTATTTATAGGCTTCGATGCGTTGACGACATTCTTGATAAATACATGGCACCAAATTAAGGTAAAATCTGTTGCCAAATCGTTTGCATTCAACTCTTTCTAAACTTATATTGTCAGAATTTGTAGGGATCCCTTACAGTATTCAGTCATGAACCTATCACCAACGTATTCATGCATTGAATGATTGCATAACACGTATATGGTTATTACCAATTGGCGAATTCAACCCCGTTTTATTTAGTTCATGTACGTTTTACAAATTTATATCTAAGTTTAGTAATAAAAAATACGCTCCATATTTCTTTGTGAACCGAATTAATTTCTTTCGTTCATGCACCTGTTTCTTCCCATCTATTACACTAGTATGTACCCCGTACCAAGCACGACCCTCGCCTCTTTTCTATAATTCGTTAATGTTGTTTGATCTCAATTTTATTTTTATTTTGACAAGCACGACCCTCGCCTCTTTTCTATAATTCGTTAATGTTGTTTGATCTCAATTTTATTTTTATTTTGAACCGATTTCTACAGCTAGCAACTATGATTTTATTTTTATTTTGAACCGATTTCTACAGCTAGCAACTATGAAGAACTTCAAATGAGTTGCATTTGAAAAATAGATGTCTAATAATATTGTATGGTGTAAATATAACAATACTACTCCAACAATTCACACATAATGGCCTAATAAAACAATATATCTATAGTTCTATAAATATCCCCTATCAAGTCTCTTCACAGCTTTGTGCACATAAACTATCCCAATCTCCTCAATGACAACAATTAGATTGTGTGTAAGAGAAAAATCTATTGAGTGCATGAACAGTGATTCTCATATCCTCCTTTTGTATAGAGGAGTAGATATATAGGAGGAAAAGATGAATAATAACTTAAGTAAGCAATAAAACAATTTTCTTCATTCTAAATATCATACATATATTATCTTCAGTTGGTGTGCAATATAGCTTGCAGACACAAATCAGAGACTGAGACAAACTATTTTCCCTACCTTGCAAATAGGTTGTTGAGGATTTCTCATATTTACTAACAAATTCTCACACTTAAGATCAAAATGGACAATATTCTTTCCGTGCAGGTACTCCATTCCAAATGCAACATCCATTGCAATTATTAGCCTTTTGTGACGATCAATCGTTTTGCTAATAACAGATGTTGTTAACTATTAAACATAGTTGGCTGGACTACACAAAGATCATATGAAGCTTGTAAGTAAACGGCAACTGCAAGCAGAACTACACAAAGATCATATGAAGCTTGTACCTATCTTTTTTTGCAAAAATTGCTTCAGAAAACCATTGATCTGTGACAGTTGCTAAAATCCCATCAGGACCATCACAGACTACACCATAAAAAGATACAACATTTGGATGATGTAATGAACTTAATGTCAAAGCTTCTTTCCAGAAATCTGCAATCTGTAGAAAAACATGAAATGATTAATATCAGTAGCCTATCCTCGAGTCTATAAATAGTTCTTCTCAGAGAGAATATATGACAGTGATAATGATTTTCTAAAATAAAAAAAAAAGCAATAAGGACAGTTGAAGCATCATGGTGGAGTGATGCACATATGAACAGGAGAAGCCAGACATGAAAATGCAATGAAAGGCAACATTTCTCAAATAGAAATCATAGAGCAATTGTGTTTTTTATTCATGTATTAACCTGGAGTATCTTAAGATTTAAAATCATAATATGTAACATGTATCATAAATGCATGTCATATCACATTCGAGAGAAGTCTACCTTGTGTTTGTGTTTGTCTGTTCAGAATTAACTAATTAACTACATGCAGTGACTTTGTCTATTTGTGTCACTGCAATATAGGGATCATGTCATTAAGCATCTAGCTTTTAGTTAGTAGCCCTGCTAAACAAATCAAATCACCAACCCAATTAGGTTTAGTAGAGAAGGAATTGGAAAATCGAAGTTAATAAAATAAGCCGAAGCAGAAGAATGGAAAACTCGAATAATTTATTGTGACAGGAGATGCTCTGGTGACTGCGGAGTGATGCCATATTCTAGATTGAAACTGACCTTAGACATATATTAAGGGGCTAAAATCACATCACCTCAATACTCATAGTATTGTTGTTGAAAAATCGAGTGCAATTCATATGCTAATTTCTTGTCTCTCTAGCATTATGGAGGTTGAGTGTATGTCATATTTTTAGGGCATCACTCCATCGTGAAAATATTGGCGCTATATTTTTAGGGCATCACTCCAGCTCAATACGATCAGCATGCTTCTTGTTAACCACGATACTAATTATCACTTATGCCAAATATGTTAAACATGTGATTTAGGGCCACTATAATTTTCCGCTTCTTGAAATTGAAGTAAGCCTGAATATAGGGAAGCCCAAAAAGTCAGTAATCCATAAGATTGAAAGCCTATTAGACATCAAATAGTAAATGTTAGAATAAGTTAGTCTAGCACTCATATTGTGGCAAATAGTTTCAACATCTATGGCAACAGGAAAGCAATGACCAAAAAGAGTGAATCTTGCTCAAAACCAAAGATAAAAAGAAAGTTGTTTCTCCTCTCTTTTGGAAATTGATCTAACTGTCCACAATCAAACTTCATGTACCGCTAATTCTTAAGTCAATGCTACGTAGTTCCACATTAGTCATCTTTCGCTAATTCTTAAGTAATTTTCTAGAAGTAATAATATTTCTCTGAACTGATTTGAAGTTTTGTACTCTTTCGTAATCATAATATAGTCTTTGATCATATTCTTTTGAGTTATAATTGCCTTTAAATATCAAAAATTACTAACATCAGTTCTTGAAGTCCCAAAATTGGATTTTTTTTTACTTGTAATCATTAATCTTAAAATATTTTCCAACATTCTTTTTTACATGTCACGGTACTTTTTAAAATGCTAGAATAGTCTGTTTATGCTACAGTAATAATGCCCAATAATCTGAATTCATGTGTTTAGAATATCAACTTATGATTATATGACTGATTGAGTAAATATAGTTAAAAAAACTTATGCAATGGGGATCAAATTAAATACCTTCATAAGAAGTTATAGAAGAAACATTTTTGCCTACAAAAGGAGAGGGGAAATAGATTACAATTGCATTCCAAGGCCAATATTTGTAAACACATAACTAATAATAATAGTAACATACCTTCAAACTCTATAGTGATGTCGTTACCATCTACAGAATTGTCCTCTACACAAATAAGGACATATTCATTAAGCAAACTTTTATATGAAGAGAAGAAAAAAGTATAAATGATTGAAGTTAATACCTTCAACCTCCAAGTTAGCATTGGTATCATCTAAACCCATATTATCAGTTTCTCTTGCATCCATATAGAACTTAATAACATATATCAGCATAAATTTGACATAGAAACATGTTTCAATTGGCGTAAAAAAACATAATGTCCCACCAAGGACAAACTGATAACTATTTATCAGTAAATTTAAAATTACATCATAATTTTTTTAGGAAATTGTAGTTTGTCCATCTACTATTCTATCAAGATAATCCAAGCCTTCAATAAATTGAGATCCTATACCAAATACAAATTGTTGAGACACTATTATATACAACACTTGAATTATTAATACTAAAAGTAAATAGGAGGGAAAAAATACCATGAAAAGAAGAGTCAATATAACTTTGTATTGACTAAGCAACTTCATTGTCCGCTATGCCAACTTTAGTTCCTGGGCTGAAATTATTTGCACTCCAAGCAACATATTGCAGAGTTCTTCTATTTTGAATAACACGCTTTCCAATTTTCACTGGGGGATCGCATTGGTTCAATAAGCTGTCATTTGATGAAAGAAGATTTCTCAAAGCTTGTCTTTGGTTCATTTGAAAGCAATTTGCACCCTTGCCATCCATATATAGTTGATTTCAGAAGTTGATCCATCTGTCAGGTTCACTAAAGCACTTGAGGACTCCATTAGGGGAATTTGATAATGTGCCTATCTTGAATAATACCTGTATTAGGTTCACTAAAGCTTAATAATATCTGTATTGCATAACTCACCAGCAAAGGAGAAGCAAAATCATTAAATTGATAGGTAACTTCCAATGGCTTTAATTTTTCAATATATAGTTTCTTCAAGCCATCAATAATCGAAGTGACAGAGCTTAGAGGAATCTGAACAGAAAAACAATAACAGGTAGTACAGGAGCATACAAAATATAGGCATAAAACAATATAAAAATTAATATAAAAAGAACTATTTTACTAAAAATCAGTGAGCATGTAATAATCTGTTAGCAAAGAAATGCAATAGTTAATCACATGAAGACTTGCTTCCGAGGATATTGGAGAAAGAATTCATAGTTTGATTGAGATTGACACTGCAATAGTTGATCACATGGGAAAAAGCAATGTAAACATAATAAGCTTGTCGGGTCCGTATCAAATCATAAAGATTTATAAATGAACTGTAACCTTCATATTAAAAGCATCATATGCAAATATAATCCTATGCATTATATACATACAAAGAGTAAAATACATTTCAACTACGTATATATAAATGTTATCAATTAAACTCCATTATCAAAATTTTGAGAATGCTATTCAAGAGGACTAATTTCTAAGAAAAACAATTCTCTCTAAAACATATTTCTTATGTTAATAGAAATGCAACTATTATATATAAAGCTAAACTAATTTCCAAGAGAACTACATCTTTTGCCTCTTTTTCTTGAATCAGATTACATTTGCATGTAAAGCCTACAAAGAAAGATGTAAGAAATAATTATGATACGCGAATACTTTAAGGTAATAGCAAAATAGACCAATATCATAATGTATCATTTATGTTGATAAATTCTCAAGCTAATAAGAAAAGTAGACATTTATAGTAATAAATAATTAGTTTATTGAGAAGCTCTTAAAAAATCTGGAAAGTACTTGATGTGGAAACATAAAATTCTATCCATCATAAATTCATGTACATTTAGCTCTTCAATTGCAGAAAAATCATGATGAGTAGCTACATTATTGAACCCATCCTTCATTAAAAAATACTTCTTTTCTCATATATCATTAACAAATATGATCTCGATTCAACTAAACTTCATACTCTATTCTCAAAATAAAATTATGATTGTCCTGAATCCAGTTATGAGCAATTACAAAATCATACCCAGCTGAGGGAAAACCGAAGCTTGTGTCGCCTGCGGGAAAGCAGCAGAGATATCCAACGCCAGCAATCCAACATCCGAACTCATGCTCTCCTTTGAGTGCTCACCAGTTAATCATTTAGTCCCCAAAAAAAAAGAAAAAGGAAAAAAAAGATAATTTCTATATTTAGGCTAAAATCGATGGACCAACAAATTCTATTTGTTTATAGGAACTGGAAAATGAAGGAAAAATTGAGGTCAACGTGGGGAAAGCTGTTACCTTGATTTTTTGATAGAGGAGCCATAGCCGAGGACACACTCGAACTCTTCGAAGTCGACGAAGCCATTGCGGTCGGCGTCGGCTACGGAGATCATGGAGGTGATGACGTGGTCGTCGGCGATGATCATGGATTTGAGGTCGCTGAGGATGATCGGGGAGATCTGGATGAATTCAGAGAAAGAGAGGGTTTTTTTGGTTGGAATATAGAGATTAGATCTGCGACAGCCGCCGACAACACAGTCGGATCCTTTCGCTTCTCCATTGATCTCGCCGCGGAGATCCCGATCTAAGACTCCGATATCAGAGGTCTCACCTGATCGTCCTCTGAATCCCTAATCGAGTCGGAGATTGCTGCTGCTGATGACGACGACGATGATTTCTTGAGGCGTTTGAGCTTAGGTTTGGGGATCGGCGATTGTCGATCCTCAGGGATCGGAAGGCCGAGATCGTCTTCGATGATTCTTGAGGCGTTTTTTTTATCTCTGGTGAATGAGGATCGGGTGAGAAGAGGAGGCGTTTTTTTCTCTGGTGAATGAGGATCGGGGGTGAGAAGAGGGTGAATTATAGGGGGGTGTTTTGAAATTTGAAATTTAAGCTGTCATGGATACACTGGGAGAGGAAAGAGAACGGATCTGTATAGTATTTTCTGTTCACGATACAGTGTTAAATCTACTGTTCAATTTACTGTGCTATGAACAGTAATTCTTTGATCCTCTTATTTGTATAGAGGAATAGATACATATTTCAATCTATTTCAACAAATAGTATAATTGGCTGAGCCATTCACCAATTATAGTAGGAAAATGATAGAAAACTAGGTCCCCCTAATAGTAGGAATCCTTATTCTTCTCCTAACCTATACAAAGAAATCAAAAGACATGTATATAACACACGCTAAATGTCTACCTTCTCTTATTTATAGGCTTCGATGCATTGACAACATTCTTGATAAATACATGGATTCTTGATAAATACATGGCACCAAATTAAGGTAAAATCTGTTGCCAAATCTTTTGCATTCAACTCTTTCTAAATTTTTTTTTTGGTAAATGAATGATTTTATTCACAAACCAAAATATAGAAGTTAAGTACATCAACAATCTCAGATACTTTGAAATCTGAGAACTAAAACTCATCAAACAAAGAAAATCTCAACCTTCAGTTTACAGGGAAAGAAACCAAACCCAGTCTTCATTAGGCATCTAAGGTTTGTTGAGGATAGCAGTATATAAATCAACTTTAATGTCCCTGATGATTTGGCTAGAGCATCTACTTTTCAATTTGAAGATCCTTTCATTACGCTCTTTCCAAATGTAGTAAACAACTGCAGCAAGAGTCATTCTCTTCACTTTCAGTTTACAACCCTTCACCTTTAGGCTATTGTGTTTGCGTCGAAAATTGATGTATTCATTGCGGTATTCATTACAACTTTAGTCGTTACAATGAAAACAAAAAGATTGTCTTTTTATAAGACTTTTACACAATGAAAATAAAAGTTTACAACTCTCGTCAAAACAAACGCAGAGATCGTTTATCGGTCTTCTGCTTGCGTGGGATCTTTGCCTGTGCCGGGGTTTATCCGTGGACCGCCTTAGATCTGGATCCGGTTGATGGAAAATTCGGCAGAGCTTCGTCTTCATCGAGGAAGTATTTGATTTGAAGCGCTGAGATTGACCAAGCGAAATCAGGGCTCTTCTCGAGATTAAGACCAAGCCTAATCTCAAGGGACGGACGAACGGGGTTCAGATCCTTCTCGAACTCTCCTTCTTTATGCCGAAGAACTCGCCAAGATCTGTCAACCCTCGCTGAAATTCGTGCTCCTTTGACTCCACAATCCGGCAGCACCTCCTCGTCTTGATAATCAATCGCCCCCGCTGAAAGGAGGCCCTATGCTTGTATTTATAGGACTTCGGAAGCGGTTATTTGGATGAGAACAAATGATTTGGCCTTATCTTTAGTCAATAACAGCCTAACCACGTTTGTAGATGGTATCAAGTCAGTTTGGATGCTCAGGAACCAACAAATCTCGAGAAAAAACCATCAAAAACCGAACCGGGACGAAACAGTGCGCGCAGGACAAGTCTGACCCGCGACCGCTTTGCAGGGCCGTAATCTGATCGGTCGGATCAGTCCGACCCGCGCTTGCGCGGTCGGACAACTCCGACCCGCGCTTGCGCGGGTCGGACAACCTGGACCGCCGCTTGCGCGGGTCGGTTGTTCCGTCCGCTCCGCGCTCGCGTCAAAGTTGATTTTTTTCTTCTTTTTCGTTCTCTTTCTTGAGACTTGTCCTTTCGCTGTGTTGGTTCGCTTCGTTGGATTTTATGCTTTGAGTTGATTGACGCGCGTGGATGTTGATTACGCATGGAGCTGATTGCGCGCGCGCGAGCTGACTGTCAAGCGCGCAGGTCACTTGATTCGCCGTTTTGCTTCAGGCGCTTGTCGGCGTCATATACTCCTCTTAGACTCGGATAACAATGTTCGTCGCTTCTCTCTGTCTCGAGCTGTGTGTGGTCACTATAGGCTTTTTTAGACGCCTACATTAATATATGTTATATTTTATATATCATGTCATATATTTATAATATAATTAGCATGTATTAGTTAATTAATACAAAAATATTTTAAAATTATCTCAATTGCCTTCAAAGTAGAACAACATTGTTCTAATATGGAGGATGGGGTAAATTTTTACTATTGAGACAAAATTTTTATATATGAGT